TTTAACAGAAGTATTGAATTGTCTTTCATGGTGCAAAAATGTTGCAGTTTGGGTCTGGCCTCAGCTTTGGAAGGTAAAAGAATTAGCCAAGTCATTATGGAAAAATCATCTACACTAGTGAGGACGTATTTAAAACCATCATAGGTGGGGGAAGAGTTTGGATCCCAAATATCAACTTGTATCAACTGAAAATGATGAGTAGTTACAGTTGTACTAGATGGGAAAGGTAGCATCTTCTGTTTGGAAAAATGATAGACATCACAGGGTAAGCTGCTATTGATTTCTATGGATGTACAAAGTTCTTATAACTAGGGAATCCTATTGTGAGACACATGGCCAAGCCTAAAGTTCCAAAGATCAAAAGATGGGGAGCTAAGCTGCTGTGATGTGTTTAGGTAGTCTGTCTAGTTTGAGGTTGATGTGGTATAGGTCATGGATGAGGTTAGCAAAACCAGTCACTCTCCTCAGCTCCATTTCCTGTATGATGCAAAAGTCAGAGGAGAAGGTTAAGCAAAGAGGTCTGTTGGTGGTCAGTTTACTGACTGAAATGAGGTTGAAGGTGAATTGTGGAACAAAGAGGGCATCCTCTAGGATCATACCATCCAAACAAGTGACAAATCCTATGTGGGTTGCTTGAACTCTATCTCCTGTAGGGAGATTGATGAATATATAATCTACCTGTTTGTGATTACTGAGGTAGTCCAAGGAGCTGACAATATGGTCAGTAGCTCCTGTATCTAAGATCCAAGGAATGGAAAGTGAACCTTGTTTGGAGAGAGTGCAAATATGATTACCTGAAGAGCTATGAGCATAGTGAGTTGTGAGAGGAGCATAGTGAGATATAAGTTGTTGTTTGAGTATGGACTTGTCATGCATGAGAGACATTAACTTGTCATAGTCTGATTTGGTAAGTCTGATCTCTTGTTGATCATATGGTGTGGAGTTACTGTCAGTAGATTTGATGGAAGGCCTTGATCTGGGATGTAAGGAAGGCCTTTGTCGAGGATTGGAAGGGTAACAATTATTCTTGAACCACTTGTCTTTTGTGAGACCAATCCTCTTGGGTTCATGCTAGGGGGACAACCATGTTTGTGGTAGCAGGTCCCCTCGCCATGACGAGGAGCATTGCAAAAAGTGCAATGAGGTCGTCTGCCTATAATATATGTATGGCCTCTTGATGTTTAGAGCTGCTATATCAGATGGTTCAGGGAGGGATGTTTTGCCCGGCTAGGTGTCGTACTGTTGTCTTTCATGTTGCAGGATTCTTTGAAATACTCTGTCTATTGTAGGAAGGGTGTCTCCAAACAGAACTTGAGATCTTACAGAAGCATGGTTGTCATTTAGACCTCAAAGGAATTGGATGACATAGTTTGTAGATCTATAGCCTAGCACAACATTCATGGCAGCACAGGTTGCATGACTATGGTCGGTGCAACGACATGGATCTATAGGCTGGTAGTTGTTCAATTGATCTTGTAAAGCAATGAGATTTCCATAATACTCAGTTACTATTTGATTACCTTGTTCGAGGGCACTAAGTTCTTCAATCAACTCAGCAACACAAATCATATCACCCTGAGGCTGGCCCAAGCTTCAGAGGCGAGTTTGTAAGACATGATGGTCTTCTTGATTCCAGGTTCCACAGCTTGTTGAATCCAGTTAAGGACCATGATGTTGTTTCTGGTCCAAGAAGAGAACCGAGCTTGATCAGCAGCAGGAGCAGTGATTGTGCCATTGATGAAACCAAGTTTGTTCTTGGCCCCCAAAGCATTCAACATGTCTTTTCTCCAGTCGTTGTAGGTGGTGGTGGTAAGCTTCTCACCTACCAGCATCAACCCTAATTAATCTGAGCCATGAAGGTAATTGGGATCCACCATGGGATCCAGTTGATTTGCTTGTTATGGAGTCGCCATTTTGTGGGAGGTGGCTAGGGTTGCTCTGATACCATAACAACGCGTATGGCCTTGAAACCCTAGCTTAGTTCCTCATTGATCATATGGTGCAATATATACAAGAATTCACAGAAGAAGACAACAACTATTAGTTGTTGCTTCACCATAAGAGAAACAAGGAAAACCAGAACATGAGAGGGAATAGATTCTGAACAACGAAAGGGACATTGAGTCTTCAGTATCAACACAACAACGTTTCAACAAGATTGGCCTTTCCTTTATACACAACGACATCATTCTACTTGAGTTGTGTACTATCCATTGGAGCTTGAATTTGGGGATTTGCAACTGGTGGAAAATGGGGATTTTTCCTTGATAAAAAGGAAAGGCCAGAAAGAGGGAGAGTATCAGGAAAAAGGGCTTAGGATAGGGTTAGTAACCATTGGTTACTAGCATATTAGTAACTAAATCTGGACATTTAGATCTAAGTGGGCCCAGAAAATCCAGATCTAAAGGTTGTCAATTAAAGATATTTTATTTTCCCTAGTTTTCATAATCGGCTCATATCTTCTTCGTTTTAACTCGGATTTCAATTTTTTTGCACACATGGAACGAGTTCGTTGTGCTCTACAAAATGAGATCAATTTTCAATATATTTCGAGAAACTTTTTTTTTTACCAACTACATACCATATGGTAACTTCTTCGTTTTTAAGTCGTTTTTGAATACTTTTGCTCAGAAGGAACGAGTTTATCATGATCGATTGTATCTACAAATTTCTGGGTGAAAAAATACTGGACCAAAAATTACCATACTTTACCACTATGGTATGTGGGTGGTAACTTATGATAAACAATGATGAAATCGTAAATGACAGTTAGTATACTCCTACTATCATGTATTCAACCTTCTTATCATATTGGTATGTTCATACCATCATGGTACATTTTCTTACCATATGGTAATAAATATGAGCAAACCATATGGTAATGACTGGTAAAAAATTATTCAATTTTTTTGTACTAAAAATATATCAAAATGGATATCATATTAAAGAGCACATTTAATCTGATTTATCTGTGCAAAAAATATATAATTTCTAACTTAAAATGAGAGAGAAATCGTACGTTAAAGATTAAAGGGGAAAATTAAAGACTTTCCAGAAGAGAGGAGCGGATCAGGTCAGTAACTCTTATGCTGAGTAACTATCAGTAACCCGTCCACATCAGCATGACATCAACATCCCTCTCTCTCCTGGAAAGTCTTTAATTTTCCCCTCCTAAATCTTTGACGGACGATTTTTCACTCGTTTTAAGTCGATAATTCACTTTTTTTATACAATTATATCAGATTAATTGTGCTCTTCAAAATGATATCTAATTTGATATATTTTTCGAACAAAAAAATTGAGTCATTTTGTACTAGTCTATACCATATGGTAATTGACTGGTATTGAAATAAGAGCATACCTATGGTTTGAAAAGCGTATCATGGTGGTATGAACAAACCAAGACTGTAGGATGGTTGAATACATGATAGTAGAAATATATTAACTGTCATTTACGACTTTTAACATTGTGTACCATAAAATACCACCCCGTACTAGGGTGGTATTGTATGGTATTGTGTGGTATTTTTTGGTCACGTAATTTATTCACACAGAAATTAAATTTGTAGATCCAATAGATCATGATGAACCCGTCACTTCTGTGCAAACGTTTTCAAAAACGAATTAAAAACGAAGAAAATACCATATGGTATGCAGTTGATACCGAGAGGCCAGATTTTTTGTTCTAAAAAAGTATTGAAAATTGATCTTATTTTGTAGAGCATGATGAACTCGTTCCACTTGTGCAAAAAAAATTAAAATCCGAGTTAAAACAAAAAAGACATGAGCCGATTAAGAAAAGTAGGGAAAATAAAAATAGTCTTTAATTCTCCATCCTTAGATCTGGATTTTCTAAATGAAGAGTCTAAATTTGATTATTGATGGATACATAACCCATGGTCATTAAATAACACACTTCTCAGTACTGGGGAACAGATCAGGTCAGTAACCTTATGGTGAGTAACCAACACACATCAACATGACATCAGCATCCCTCTCTCCTGGAAAGCCTTTAATTTTCCCTTTCTTAATCTTTGACAGACAATTTTTAACTCGTTTTAAGTCGAAATTTTTTTTTTTTTGCACAGTTAGATCAGATTAATTGTGCTCTTCAAAATGATATCCACTTTGATATATTTTCGAACAAAAAAAAATGGAGGCATTTTTTACCAGTCTATACCATATGGTATTGACTGGTATTCAAATAAGAACATACCTATGGTTTGAAAAGCATATCATGGTGGTATGAACAAACTAAGACTGTAGGATGGTTAAATATATGATAGTAGAAGTATATTAACTGTCATTTACGACTTTTATCATTGTGTACCATAATATACCACCCCGTACCAGGGTGGTATTGTATGGTATTGTGTGGTATTTTTTGGTCATGTAATTTGTTCACCCAGAAATTTGTAGATCCAATAGATCATGATGAACTCGTCCCTTCTGTGCAAACGTTTTCAAAAATGAATTAAAAACGAAGAAAATACCATAATATATCACCCCGTACCAGGGTGGTATTGTATGGTATTGTGTGGTATTTTTTGGTCATGTAATTTGTTCACTCAGAAATTTGTAGATCCAATAGATCATGATGAACTCGTCCCTTCTGTGCAAACGTTTTCAAAAACGAATAAAAACGAAGAAAATACCATATGGTATGCAGTTGGTACCGAGAGGTCAGAACTTTTTTTTCTAAAAAAATATTGAAAATTGATCTCATTTTGTAGAGCAAGATGAACTCGTCCCATCTGTGCAAAAAAAAAAAAAATTCGAGTTAAAACGAAAAAGATATGAGCCGATTAACAAAGCTAGAGAAAATAAAAATGATCTTTAATTCTCCATCCTTAGATCTGGATTTTCTAAATGAAAGGTCCAAATTTGGTTATTGATGGGTGCATGCACCCATGGTTATGCACCCTATGTTGAGCCTGAGTACTCTGTGTTATGCTTTATTATTTTGTTACAAAGCGAGGAAACTAAGCTAGCAACTAGATTCAATTTTTCTTACAAAACGGGTACGTCTCGTAGCGGACGCAGCAATCATCGGTGGCGTACTGAGCTCCGGCCACCTGACTACCGCAAGACTCCGCCACGAACTCATAGGCTCCTTTGATGCAGTCTGTGCACCTAGGATCCTTGAGATCAGTGGTAGTTTGGCAACTCATGTATTGGTAGATCGTCGTCTTTCTGTCATCGTCGGGGTTATCGCCAGGGTACTGGATTGGCGGCAGCAGACACCCTATACCACCGTACTGTACGGATTGCCAGGATACGCGCTCCTGGGTGCCGGCGTCACTCAAGTTGTAAGGGCTGCATACCGGCGCGGCGTTCGGCGGAGGACACGTTGGATCAGCTGCCGATGATGAGTAGTGAATCATGTTTAGTGTGAGCAGAAGAAGAAGAGACAATGGTAATGGTAAGGAACAATAATATTGTCGCAACATAATTGATGATAGAAATATATGTTGCTGGTTAATTAGTTGATATGGGACTAAATCTCTGTGTGTGTTTTGTTAAGTTGATCGATCACGGATGACTATATATATATATATATATATATATATTAATTAGGGGAGAGATTAGTATGCCGGCCGGCGGAGTCGTATATATATGATTCGAGGGAAATGTGTCTCACAACGGTTTGACACCAAGGTTCTCGGGTTGGAAATTACACGACATTGTTTCTTTTTTCGATTTTTCTTTTTGTGTAGCTCTTATTTTTGGAATTCTAAATTGAATATTTAAATATTAATGTTATATGCGTGTTTTTAATTTTCACTATATGTTGAATTCATCTAAATATCAACGATTATTTTAGTATAATGATGTTATTAGCCATATGTTAGATAATATTTAATAAACCTGAAAATGTACGATAATATAATAATTTTTTATATATATTGGTGATAAAGTGAACTAAAGTAATCTAATTATTAACTCTCAACTCACTTGTTGACCGGACCAACATTTGGAGGCTTTATGGTCGGCATGATATTCCTTCCGGCAGGACCTAACGCTTCAATTTTGCCCGGCTCTTCTGCAATCGGTTGACTTGACGATTCAAACAAAAAAGAAAACAAAATTATATAATTGGTTGATGATTAATACACGTCTATGAATACCATATATATCATGTCTGTCTCACCTACTCAGCATGTAGTGCAAAAATGAATACCAATGACGGCCACCGTATGTAAAAAATGTGAACCTCCGTGATAACTGTTACGAGACTATCCAAGTACCACATCGGTAATACAAGAGAAGGGACCATTATATATTAGTGTCCACTAATCTCATTAGTACGAGGCCTTTTGGGAAGGATTGATCAAAAGTAAATTCGTGCGGTCTTGGCCAAAAGATGACAATATCGTACTAATGGAGATGCCCTATTTAAAAAAAACAACAACATAGAATGTGAAAGACAAGTGAAAAAGGGAAGCATACCACAAGTTTATTCAAGCATATCATAAGTTTCTAAAAACATACTACAAGTGGAAATGAGAATGAGAAGCATACCCAAGTGGAAGTATAAGAAGCATACCACAAGTTTCCAAAAACATGTCACAAGTTCTTTAAAGCATAACACAAGTTTATCAAAACATACCACAGGTGGGAAGGGAAAAGAGAAGTGAAAGCATACCACAAGTTTCTAAAAACATATTACAAATCCATTAAAACATATACCACAAGTTGAGGAAGGGGAAGGAGAAGCATTAGGGGTGGAAATTGGGGTGGGTGTGGTTACCCGCCCCACATTTTGAGGGTACCCACACCCACAAATTTACAATTATGCTACCCACAACCCGCACCGCATTGGTTAGTGGGTAACCACTACCCAGTATCCACTGTGGGTTTGTGCGGGTTGGGTGTGGTTACCCGCAAAAAACCATATTTGCAAATATAGAGTTCTAGTCGCCACTAACGTATTTGTTGTTCGTAACTAGACTATAGTGATATGCACTTGTGTTGTTCGTGGAGATACAATTTTGTACATCGATCTTACTCAACGTGGAGATTTTTTTCTTTTTGAGTTTGGTATTCAACTTTTGTGTTAGAGAGTTGTGATTTTATATTTCTCTGACTAGGGGTGAAATATGACAATTAAATATGATCTTGTATTTTTTTCACACCAAAGCAAAAACATACTGATAAAAGTTATAAAAGGTGTTCACTTTTAATGAATTGATTATTCTCCACTCTATCGATTATAGTGTTTTATAAACTAAAAAAAATCTTACATAAAACTGATTAGGTGTGTCTTTTTTATTTGGTGGCTACTTTAATTTTTATCCTCGCACTTTTCACATACTATTATATTATAAAGTTAATTCACTAAATAAATTTCATTAGTGTGGTTATTGTGGATTTTGTGGGTTAACCGCGGTGGGTAGTGGATAACCACTAACCACAAAAATTGTTATTTTACTACCCACTACCAACAACTTGTGGGTATGGTTACCCACAATAGGTGCGGGTTGGTGCGGTTTGCGGAATATCCACAACCCGCAACCCAAACTTCCACCCCTAAAAAACATACCACAAATTTTTAAAAACATACCAAAATTTCTTTAAACCATGCCACAAATCTGGATTCCTATTTGCAGCCCTAAATTTTTAAAATTTCAGCCCTAAATAAACTGAACAGACAAAATTACCCCTCCAACCATTTTCAATCGAAGCCCTATCCCCTCCCCTAATCTGTCTCGCCGCCGCCCTTTGCCATTTATGAGCGCCGCCGCCGCCCTTCGCCCTCCCGTCGCAGGAAGCCCCCTCCCTCCAACCCTTTCCTGGATGAGCGCCACCGCCGCCGCTCCAATCGCCCCAATTACCTCTCTCCAACAGTGCTTTGCAAAGGGGTTAAGACTTGGAAGTACTTACGGAGGGCAGAAGGGATTTGAAAGGGCTGGAGGCAAGGCTGCTCTGATCGGAGAGAAAAGTCTGAGGAACGGCTGAGTTGGAGATGCAGCGCACCAATGGAGACAGTATCACCATTAGAAACATACGAAGTATAAGACATCGTCTCATTCTGAGACATGCAATGCTCCGCCGAGTAATCTTTCAATTGGGTGAGGTAGTAGGCTGCTTCATCCTCCTTCCTCCTCAACGGCGCCGGTCCGCAGCGACTGAACTCGGAATTCCAGGGCGAACGGCGGCTTGGCTGCGACGGGGGAGCTGGGCGATGTTCATCCAGGGAGAACGAGCGACGGTAGGGCGGATACGAGTGACGGGGGAGCTGGGCCTTGGTTGCGACGGTAGGGCGGGACGGATTTGGGGGCGAACGGCGGCTTGGCTGCGACAGGGGAGCTGGGCGATGTTCATCCAGGGAGAACGAGCGACGGGGGAGCTGGGCCTTGGTTGCGACGGTAGGGCGGGACGGATTTGGGGGCGATTGGGAGAGGGGGGTTCCTGCGACGGGAGGGCGAACGGCGGCGGCGCTCATCCAGTGGGGCGATTGGAGCGACGGCGACCAACTGGCTGGGGAGGTACTACGGCGAAGGCGTTATTTTAGGGATTGAGAATTTTTTAGGGCAAAAAAGTCAAATTATTAAGTTAGGGCTGAAATTTTAAAAAATTTAGGGCTTTAATTAGTACCTCCCGCCACAAATTTCTTAAAGCATACCATAACATTGAACCAATTTGTAAATTCAAAAAATTCAGGTATCAAAATGTAAAGAAAAAATTTTAGGTACGAAAATATAACTTTTCATCAATATTTCGTGGCTTATTTGTAAAATATTAATTTTAAATACTAAATATTAATTTCATGTACCAGAAATGTGTACAAAAAATTGTGATATTTCATCAATAATTTTGTTAATTTTCTTCAAAAATTCTCCGAATTGAGACAAAATGAATTAGCCCGAGTTAGGAGTTACGAAGCCAGGTATACCCAACAAAGTTGATTTAGTCCACCGATCCTCCTAAAACTGACCGCACAACTACAATGGGCTCGACAAGCTAGCCTGCAAGGCTGCAACGACAAGCCCAGTAAATCCCAGAAGGTGGCTAATCATTAGTCACGAAAAATAAAACTAAATATAGATAAATTAATTTCTGTGATAGAATTACAGTCGCAATTGTAGGAACAAGTTTGGTCCCACCTACAAAATTTAAAAAAAAAGGATAAACTGATTCTCGTGAATCATGACTAGATAAACCGGTCATCAAGTAGAGTATACATGTCTAGTCCCGCCTATGAGACAGTATTACCCATCCCAAAACAGCTCAAAAACAATCCCTACATTCAACAGTTGGTGGCTAAAGGGGAAGTCGAGCTAGCTTACATTACTTCAGAGAATCAAACTGCTGATCTGTTAATAAAGGCAGTAGCATCAGCTCAACATTGGTTTCAAGAACACAAATTGATGTTGAGACACTATCAATTTGAGAGAGGGTGTTAGAAGTTTGAGTATCATTCCGTAATTGTCCAAGTTAGGGTTAGTAGTTAAGTATATATATATATATATATGTGTATTGTATGGCCGGCTAGGTTAACTCTTTTGGTGAGAATAAGAACTCTTTGCCGTATTGTCGTGGACTAGTCTCGACTATCATCATTAGGAAAACCACGTAAATTTGTGTATCTGTGTGATTTTTCCATTCTCGTTCGTGTGTTTGACAAAAACAGCTCAAAAACAATCCCTACCCACTAAGTGGTTAGTTTTATGTGTACCAAAAAGTAGAGTTGCCTCGTGCACTTGAAATTAAACGACAAAGGATCCGGCTGATTCCAAAAATTGGTATATGACAATTGACAAATGATGCTCTCTATGGCTGTATAAGATGGATAGTCAAACACAATTATCCTTCTCTCGTTGCCACCAATGCCACATATCAAACAATACCTTACCAAATTTGTTAAAATACACAACTATATATATATATATATATATATATATATATGAATGTGGTAGGAGGCTATAGGAGCTACATAATACTAAACTTTTGAATGGAGAGGAGAATGTTGGTAGTGGGTGTGGCTACATATACACTGTTAGTGATCATAGTACTGGGAGCTCTGCTGCACACAGCTGCTGGATCTGAGTCCACGGTTGAACGGTCGGACCACAAGTGCGGCAAATACCCTAAGGGCAGATGGGCTTATTGCGGCCCGGGACGATGCTGTAGCGTCTTTCTCTACTGCGGGGTCGATGAATTCCACTGTAACAAGCCTGGGTGTTGGTTCCAGTGTCATGCGGTTCCTCCTCCTACTGCTTCTTATTCTCAAAGTAGCTATGAAGAAGTAGCTGATCATGAAGCGGGAGGAGGAGGAGTACTCACACATCTGGCTAACGCTACGCGTAGTGACAACCACTATTTGAATGGTGGCGATGATGATGATGATCAGGATGTTCTCGTCAACGTCAATAATGATTCTTCTTCATCCTCGTCGCAGGCGGCGTCACCGTTATCATGTGCAACTTCTCTCTCCCGTCTGCCTTTAACCTCTCGTCACAAGTATCCTTTTGCTGCTTTACGTGCCCCGCTGCGTCGAAGCAATAATAATGATGTTACTGCTACTCGTTGTGGACGCTGCTTGAAGGTAATAACAAATTGGTGAAACTCGCTCTATCCTTCTTCTTCTTCGTTAAAGTTAACATATATATATCCTACACCATGCAAAATTAGGGGTGGCAATTATAGCCGTAATCGTGGGTATCCGACCTTACCCAACCCGATCAACGAGGGGAATCCCGGCAGTGATTGGGTATGTGGCGGATACGACGGATAATACCTGAAAAGAATTTTGTGGGGATGGGGCGGGGATGGATTTGAGTCCCCCGCCCATACCCATACCCATATCCGCTCCGTCGTTGCTTATGTCTTATAATTTTAATATATAACTGCGGTAATGTAATCTACCAAAAGGGACTTAAAGGTTATTGTAAAAAAAAGAAAAATTAAAAGATTAATTTCACATAGTTAAACCAACCCTAATTTCTTAACAGGCTAACACATCTCTAACGGGCTAAGATCTGGTGACTAAGGGGGGTCCCCTTAGTCACATGGCTAAGCGAATCTCCACCCTAGCACCTCATTAAAATCCAAGGGCTCTTATTAATCCAATTTAATGAAGGACAATGTAGTAATTGCATATTTATTTTTAACTTTTAATTATAAAAAAAAATAAAAAAAACAAAACCCAGCGCCGTCCCGTCGCGTCGCCTACCATCTCCGTTCCGATAATTGCAACTGGGCGCCATTATTTTCCATGGGGAATCTCCTGTGCGCCATTATTCCAGAGGCGCCCAATCCATGGGAAATCTCCTGTGCGCCATTATTCCAGAGAGAGAGAGAGAGAGAGAGAGAGAGATTTTGTATTGTTAGTATGCTTTGTATTGTTTGTCGGTTTATTCTGTAATGTTTGTACGTTTTTTTATTTTGTAATATTTGTCGGATTTTTTTTGTAATGTTTGTACGCTTTGTTATTTTGTAATGTTTGTCGGTTTTTTTTGTAATGTTTGTACGCTTTGTTATTTTGTAATGTTTGTCGGTTTTTTTTGTAATGTTTGTACGCTTTGTTATTTTGTAATGTTTGTCGGGTTTTTTTGTAATGTTTGTAAACTTTGTTATTTTTGTGTATCGTGTTTATCATTTTTGTCAACCATGTTTGTAATGTTTTTTGTCTAAAAAACACCCGGGTTGACTTTGGGAAGGAGCCCCTCTATATAGGGATGGAGCCTCCAAAGTCAACTCGGGTGTTTTTTCAGTTCGTATGGATTGTCGGTATAGTTTGTCATTTTTGTCCACCATGTTCGTAATGTTTTTTATGTCTAAAAAACACCCGGGTTGACTTTGGGAAGGAGCCCCTCTATATAGGGATGGAGCCTCCAAAGTCAACTCGGGTGTTTTTTCAGTTCGTATGGATTGTCGGTATAGTTTGTCATTTTTGTCCACCATGTTCGTACTGTTTGTATGTCTAAAAAACACCCGGGTTGACTTTGGGAAGGAGCCCCTCTATATAGGGATGGAGCCTCCAAAGTCAACCCGGGTGTTTTTTCTTTTTGTATGGTTTGTATTGTTTGTCAGTCTAGTTTGTATTGTTTGTACAGTTCATACGTTTGTAATGTTTGTAAATCTGTTTGTATGTTTTGTCGCCCTAGTTTGTACTGTTCGTATGTTTGTATGGTTTGTACTGATTGTAAATCCGGTTTGTATACTTCATAATTTTTCATAATACCCAAACTATCCCTGTCATTAATTAAATAGCCCTTCCCACTTTTTAACCATTAGATTGAAGTGTCTAGATCTAATGGCTAGGAGGGGCTTAGTCAAGTGACTAAGGACCCCCCCCCCCCCCTTAGTCATGGGATCCTCTCTCCATCTCTAACCCTACTTTGGAGTATAACTTGACTTTTATGTGTGGATTTTTATTGTTTAGTAGGTGTTTTGGAGATGAATAATTTGGTGTTTGATTATTTATTAGTACTTTGTTTATGGAACTTCGTAGGAATTGGATGATCTAATTAAGATTTTCACTGGTTCTTCATTAGGTTCATTATTGATTAGGTTTGATGTTTCAACTCAATAGTTATATGTTTTGTTGAATTCAAGTGTGTTAATTTAGTTATAATCATAATTAGATGTACGGGGTTGGGGACTACTCTCGGGTATCCGAAACCTGCAGGGATGGGGATGGGGATGCAAAATCTTCCCCCACATGGAGATGAGAAGGGTATGGATTTGATAATTGAAAATGGGTATGCGGATGGGTTTAGTACAATCCGCCCCAAACCAGACTCATTGCCATCCCTATGCAAAACTCGGTGCATGTGGCATAATTTATACTATAAATTAAATGAACTAGCTACATATTGTGGATCCATGAATTAGAGATATAGTGAAGCATGCAGGTCTCGTACATTTCCACTATATATGTACCAGTACTGCATAAATCTATCGATTGGTTCTCCTTTATTAACATATGAGCATGCGTTATGGACTTATGCAAATAAAAACTGAGTTTTGTACATATAAATATGATCATTACAGGTCATTGGTCTTGGAGTTGGAGTTGGAGGACTTCCGAATCAAGTAAAGGTTCGTATTGCTCACGAGCACAACAACAATCAGCTGGGCCTAGAATTGGATCTCAATACTTTTAGACAGCTCGACGCAAATGGCATTGGAATTACCACAGGTCATATTTTGGTGAATTATCAGTTTGACAACTGTTAACGAATGTGTACAATTTGTTAGAGATTTGATACTCTCCGCATAAAAAAAAACTACTCATAAAATATAATAAGATAATAAAAATACATTCATTTCCGAAATTTTTTTTTTGTCAAAAGATCGCTCGTATTACTGAGAAAACAGCCAGATACAAAATAGTCACATAGCTGAAAACAACCAAGAAACAAAATTGAACCCCACCAAAGAAGGGGACAACGAAAGGGCTTTTCTTGCCACCAAATGGGCAACCCTATTAGACTCCCGACCCACAAAAATAACCCGAAACTCCTGGAACAAGTCACGCATACTCCGAATCTCCTCCAACAGCATCCCTCCATGGACATCATCTACCTCACCATCCCGGATCTTCCCCACGATCACTTGGGCGTCACCTGCAAAAAACATCGACTGGAATCCAAACGCCAAGCACCAACGAAGCGCATCCCGGAAGGCCAGTAGTTCAACAAGAGCCGGCTCTCAAATCCCCACATATACTGCTGCCGATGCTGCTGCCACCATGCCCGTGGGATCCTAAAGAGCCCAACCTCCCGCTCCATGTGAACCAGGCGTCGTGGCTCCATCCACGAACATGACAAACTCTCCCAACAGAACATCCTGACGGCCTCTGGCACCTGAGACCCCTGAGTAACGACTAACACCTCGGCCGGTAAGTATGCCATTCCACTCTGCAACCTGCAAACGAAATTGAGATAACAACAACGGCACAATGTACTGAGTCAACTCAAAGACCACCCAATTACGGGCCTTCCAAATGCGCCAGAAAAGGGCTACAATATGCATCATGACCCCCTGATCAAGCTCCCGCCACTCGAGTAACCTGCGCCAAAAGATCCCAACATTGCAAAGGGGGAAGCGATCGCGAATGGCCAGAAGCTCCGCCCCTTCCCACAACTCCACCGCTACTCGGCAGCGGAAGAAGAGATGTTTAAGAGATTCCCCCTCCTCCCCGCAGACTGGACATGGCTCCAGCCCCCTACCCCCCGAGTACTCAGTGCCTCACCAGTTGGCAAGACACCACGAACCATCTGCCATATGAAATACCGCAACTTGGGAGGTATAGGAGCCCCCCAAACCCTTTTCCATAGACTACGATCCCACACCTGCACTTTCGCCTTCACCCTTAACTCCTTATACCTCCGTAGCTCCACTGCTAAGTGATATCCAGACTTGACCGTATAGCGACCTGATTGCTCCCCATTCCAAACCATACGATCAGGCACCGGAGAAATAGGCAACGGAATAGCCACAATAGCTCGGACAGTATCCTCCTCAAAGATCTGACGTAGGCAATCCACCCTCCAAACCCCTTGATTCGGGCAAATTAAAGACGCAACTGAACCCTCGACCCGAATGATCCCCGGACGAGGTGTAGGGGGAGATGGATGCAACGTTGGTACCCAATTGTCCGTTAGCACATCTATCGACTCACCCGAGCCAACTTGCCATCGTAGAACTTGGACCTGCAAATCACGTCCATGATTTTAATTTCAATAGATATAGGAGTATATGATGATAAAAATAAAATCACAATAAAATTCTTTTATTGTTGGTTAACAACATGATCAAAATCTATAAATGAGGAAACTTTGTTCAAAATTAAAAAAAAAAAAAAATCTGCAAACCAAGCCCAAAATAAATCAGCCCTAGTTAGGAGTTAGGAAGCCAACTTTACCCATCAAAGTTAAGTGGTCCACCGCGCCTCCTGAAACTCACCCGCACAACTGCAACGGGCTCGAAAAGCCTAGTAACAAGGAAGGCCCATATTCATAAAAACCCATCACTACGCCATACGCCAACGGCCAACCACAACGAATTAAATAATTTCATCTCCTCGTGGCATTATCGTGGGGTAGGTACTTCAATATCGATACTCACTCCACACTAAGCGAAGGTCATGTCGAGTATTATTTGTGTGGGTACGGGATGGGACAGGTCGATTCATATATATATATATATATAACATAATTTTTAAATCAATGAAAGATATATTAGAAACGTTAGTTGACTGTAAATAATTGAAAGATAAATTTTTAAATTTGTTTGGGATGAAAATATAATTTTATAATGATCAAAAGACAAAAATACATAGAGATATCGATACAAATAATAATAGAAAAGGTCGAGAACATAGCAGAAAGAGTAGAAATAAAAAAATATTTCAACCATAGAACAGGCTCTATCCAACAACTATCTCAACCATTTTCAGATTATATGCATAAATAAATATTTCATAATCCATAAAATTACTAAAGTCAAACTTACCCCGCTGCGGAGCGCGGGCTGATTACTAGTAGTTATTAAATTAGGATACATTTTGGAAGGTTTCATTTAATTCAATTATAAAAATTCTTTGGAAAAACGAATTTCACACCGTAATTCATTTTGAATTGAAATAAACTGTTGATTCATTTGGTTCCAAATAGTCTAAAAGATGAAAATTATATCTAATAAAAAGAGAAAAATTAAAGAACTAAAATAAAAGTATTAAACATAACCGTGAGTAATGTCCTTCAAATATTGTACCTCGTCTAAGAAGAAGAATTCGTTGAAAATATGAGAAAACATATTTTGGAAGTTATTGGGAAACAACGTTTTTATATTTTCAAAAACAGTAGAATCTACCACTTTCTGTTTCCAGAGTTGGAAACTAGCAGAAAATATAATGAAAAGTAAACAGGTTTCTTCGTTTCGTTGTCAGATTTATGGAATGAAAACATAAAACGAAAATGTAAGGGAATAGGTCCTAAGGCTATAGATAACTTCGATTTCAGAATTAATCTCTTTCTCTAACAACTTCAATATAAAGAGAAATTTTACAATGCTATATAGTATTGGTGCTATAGGTTTTTGTCTTTATGGTACAACTTAAAATTGTACATTTACGTTATGGTACAACTTCAGATTGTACCTATACTTTTGGTACAAATTTTTTTATGGTACAACTTGAACTTGTACCATAACATACTGGTACAAATTGATTTATGATACAACCTAAATTTATACATTTAATGTTATGGTACAACTTTAAGTTGTACATTGAAGCACCAATGCTATATTGCATAGTAGAAATGCTCTAATATAAAAGCGTCAACAACAAATATGTGTCTAGAGTTAAGTCAAAGATATTGTAATATAATACAATGTAGCCTAGTTGGTTGAAGTGCTATTCCTTCAGTTAATTAGTGACTTGAATTCAAATCTCAATAATAATATTTTTAATATATAAACATAAATTGGGTGCAATTACTAAAATAGCCTTCTATGAATTACTCTCAACCCATAAAATTTGAAATGGGGTTGCGGTTTTCCCATTTCACTATAAAGCAACGTATATACTTAACTACTTACACCATACATGAGATTACTAACACGGATCGAGATATTTTATATAGGGGTATCTCTTAAAAAAATTAATTGAAAATTATAAATAAATATTAAATATGAAAATATCCTACTAGTACAAGTTAAAATAAGTCTTTTTAATCAATATAAACTCATCATTCTTGCCACAATAATAATAATTCTCAAGATCCCGCGACAAACCTTTTTTTATAAAAATCAAACTCTTTAGGATAAATCATGTGTTAGAATATGATGAGGGATAAAAGGTAGCTTATGGGTTTAATTTTATATTTTTTGAATATTGAGAATACGGGTTTGTTAAAATTAGAATAACAAATAAAGTGTAGTAAAATGGAAAACATTGTTACTAATCATTGTAGCTCTTCATATGTTTGAATCACATGAATCATTTGTGTTTTTATTTTTATTTTTTGTTAATTTTTCCCCCAAATCCGTATATTATCTAGTGTCTTGCTATTTCGTCCTGAAATATGTATGCCAAAAAAAAAAACAAACAACATAATCATACCCCCAAGGGAGAGAAGAGAGAGCCCGGTTCTGGCCGGCGTCCGGCGCGGTGGCATATCTATAACTGCACAATTTTATATCGAGGTTATCGGCGCGATTATTATTCATTCCTCCGGCAGAAGGCCCTAGCTAGCTAACCTATATGCTGCATGAATAATTTCCCCGCTCCTTGGACCTTCACGTTGCCGTATTCAGCACTTCAACCTATTATGCAAATAATCGGTTGACGATTGATGCAGTCTTCAGTCTTGTATATATATGCAAGAAGAAAGAGGGATGAAGGAGAAAAACACTACCGACCGATCGATCGAGTGGGAGAAACAAACGAGAAGCTAAGCTAGGGTGTATCCTATATATATCTCTCAAGTTTAATTAGCCAGTCGGACAATATCATTCATTACAACAACAATATCAATGGCTTACTACACGACCACATTTGCTGCATCACTAAGGGCGACGGTTATTGTACTACTAGTCGGCGTGGGGCATTTGCGCACTTCCCTTGGATATCCAATCTGCGGCGACACGCCGGCGACAAATCAGGTGAACTTCGCCGGTTATTCACGTGTCCTTCTTGACGAGCTGGTCGAGAAAACGACATCCGTGCTCCCAGATAAGTTCACCTTTGACGCCACGGTCCCAGGAATTGGCGGTCCTGGTTCCGTTTCAGGCACTGGCACTTGTTACCATCAAGGGGACAAAACTGCTGATGATTGCGGTAACTGTCTCTCTGATTTGCGGCCGTATTTGGACGAGTGCACAAAGAACTGTTCTACCGCGGGAGCTTTCTTTCAAGGAAGGTGCATGATTCAAATACAGGAAAATTTACAGTAGTACGTAGTTGAACTTGAATGGATCGGAGGAACACCAATACATGATGTTATGTTGCTACCTACCTACGTACCGACTTGCTATAACAAATACCAATGCTCTAGTGTTTGGGATATGGCTTTCTTACTTGCAATTCACATGCAGGATGTGTATTTCACTTTGAACTTGTTATTTTCATTTCAGTTTCCTTTTCAATAAAGTTTATTTCAGTTGTTCGATTTTTTCCTTCCTTTCTTTGCGTATTATCTCTTTTTTTGCATTTATAATGTGCTGAAGATAAAATTAAGAGAGAGGGTGCATACGTACGTGTAAAGCAGAGTATCAAAAAAATACAGATAAAGAAGTGAAGGACACAACAAATGAAAACACCTCTGGAAGAACGGATCCAAATTAGGTATATTTTGTCTTAGGATACGGGTTGCTTCGGGTAAATTCATTTGAGAATCAATTACAAGTCAATGTTACTGTTCCTTACGAAAAAAAACTCCCACCCCCAATTCTTTCGCAAACACTGTTCATTACATTTATTGTAGTTTTTTAATTTAAATAAATTATTAGCTACAGGTGGTAGCATGCACAAACATATGAGGAATTACACATAAAGGGGTCTTCTACGTAGTGGTTTAACAAAATGCTATACTTTTTATAATTTAATTTTATTATCAGAACGCACATTACCAAATATTTACGTATCACCGTGCTATACAAAGTCACGTAACATATGAAAAGTTACACATAAAGGGGTCTTATATGTAGTGGTCTAACAAAATGTGATACTTTTTATAATTTGATTTTATTATTAGAGGCACATTACAAAATATATACGTAACACCGTGCTATAAAAAGTCACGTAACATATGAGGAATTACACATAAAGGTGTCTTCTACGTAGTGGTCTAACAAAATGTGATACTTTTATAATTTGATTTTATTATTAGACCTCACATTATGAAATATTTACGTAACACTGTACTATAAAAAGTCACGTAACATATGAGGAATTACACATAAAGGTGTCTTTTACGTAGTGGTCTAAAAAAATGAGATACTTTTTATAGTTTGATTTTATTATTAGACCGTACATTAAGAAATATTTACGTAACACCGTGCTATAAAAAGTCACGTAACATATGAAGAAATTACACATAAATGTGTCTTCTACGTAGTGGTTTAACAAAATGCGATACTTTTTATACTTTGATTTTATTATTAGACCGCACATCAGGAAATATTTACGTAACACCGTGATATAAAAAGTCACGTATATTATATCATATCAAACTTATAGAGTAATAGTTATTTTTAATGTATCAACTTAAATAAAACATAATATGGTGTGACTTTCGTAATGATTAAGACTTATGTAAAACATACGGTATTCTTAAGTTGATCATCTCACCAATTTTCATTACACAAAAGTTTTATTAGCTTAGTTATATTTTGCATAATAGTTTAATTAAATGTGATACTCTTCTTAATTTAATTCTCTAATTATTTATTAAAATTTCTTTATTATTAACTACGATATTCAATATCTCATCAATTTGCATTAAAAAATGTTCCATAAGGTAAGTTAACTTTTACATAATATATTAGTAGAATATGATACCTTTTCTAATTTGATATTATTCCATAAGGTAAGTTAATTTTACATAATAGATATGATAACTTTTCTAATTTAATTTTATTATTAGACCACACATTACATAAACTAGATTATAAATACATTACGTAAAATGGAGGGTAGTTATTTCATATATTTTAGTTAAGCAAATATATTACATAAATCTCGCCGCTGTGAAGCGCGAGCCAAAAAACTAGTATATTTTAAAGGAAAACACTTTAAACAATAAAATTTTTATTAAAGCAAATTGAGAAACAAACTATGACTAGGGATGGCAACAAAACCCGAACCCACGGGTACCCACCCGACCCAACTCGGTCAACGCGGGTAAAACCCGTGTTGACGGGTTTTGGGCTGGGTTCGGGTTTAAACCCGCTACACTATTCACCGGGTCGGGTTGGGTTTGGGCTTAGGTAAACCCGCCCCATGGGTACCCGCCCACACACATATAATTACTTTCCCGGTATATTTACTATTCTAAATAATATATATTCCTTAAACAACTAATATTCTTTATGTTTGTGGAGACATGTATAATTTGTTCTTTCTATTTGTTTAGAATGAAGTTCATATTATGAAGTGGAGAGTGAAGAAACTTAGTTGACGAGGAAGAAGCTTTCAATTAATCTTATTGTTTATAAATGTTTATCTTTAATTTTGAACAATTTGTATTGATCATTTGCGGTTTGCTTGTATGCTCTAGATTGATGTTTTTTGTATGAATAATTTGTATGAGAAAATTGATGTTAAACTTTTATTTTGAAAGAAACTTGTTATTGTAAATTTTTTATCACAAAAACCCACGGGTACCCATGAACCCGCGGATACCCAGCGGGTTGGGTTGGGTTTGAGTTTTTCAAACCCAGCGGGTTTTACCCAGGGTTTTTTTGGCGGATAAACCCATGGGTTTGGGTTTGACAAAACCCGCCCCAACCCAACCCATTGCCATCCCTAACTATGACATTCACTACAAGACACAACACTGTTCGTCGTCAAATGTTTCTACGACGAAATCTCCTGATAGTTAAGGAAATTTTTGTGCGCCGCGTGTACCTTCTTGCCAATGGTTTCAACCACGAATTTGGTGTAGTAGTCGCTAATGATGATATTCTTCGCAGAAAGCCTAAGTTTCTATGATGATATCCTTCATTGTGAATAACATATTCTGCGATGATGTATGTCCTAGTGAAGCATGCGTCGTAAACCTTCATCCAACGACGAAAGGGATCACACTAAAAAAAACCCTGCTTTAGCGATGAAACTAGTCGTCGCACTAAATGGACTTTAAGCGACAATGGCTTTCTTCCCCTATCATTATTGACGGGAGACGGGAGTAGTTCGTGCCAAAACGTGGACATTTGTGAAAAATATAGCCAACGTACATTTTTATCTCCTTCCAACCCCTTTTTACATTTATTTTTCACTTCTTCTTCACCTCTCATCTTCGATCGAGATCCAAATCTATGCTGGCTCTCATCTAACAGCACACTGGAGTTAAATAAAACATCAGAAAACACTATGTCAGCCAGGTAATGACGAAGACATAATAGTATGCTCTAAGCGACGACTAAGTAGATGCAAGAAAATTCAAAACACGAAACAAGTTGCACGAGCACCCTTCAATACATATTAAATCATCACTAAATTATTCATGAATACCCTTCAACCCAAATATCATGAAATTAAATTAATTCAAGTTCTTCATTTTATATTACAAGACTTCAGTAGAACAAATTAAACTCGTGTGCTTCAAGAGGTTGAGATCTGCACCTTGTTTATTTCTTATGATATTATACATATAAGGAAATCTCAGGAGAGGTTCGAACTGATTGAAGGAAGGGAGAAAGAGAGAGATGAGGGCGGTAATGAGAAAGTAGCAATGAACCGACTCAATCCAAATCGGAACTCCTAGACACGGTTTGAAATCTCAAGATGCCAGCTCAATTGGGGATGGGGAAGAAAAGGAAAGCTTCGATGTAAGTTTGATTGGGTGAATTTCGACTGGTTTGACCAAAAAAGCTCCAACTATTGCTTGATTGGTTGGAACAAAGGGAAGAAGAACGTGTCAATTGTAAAATTTGGTGGGGGTGATAATTAGCGGTGTACATGGATCGGGTGATCCAGGTATAGTCATTTTAATTACTCGACCTATATACTACGATTTTCAAACCCACCCAAAAAAATAAGAACCATACAATTTGTTTATAATTGGATTGGATCGAGTTGAGGATACTTTCAAGTAAAAACTCAACCCAACATAAAAAATGCAACATTTTTACACCACAAAAACTATAATATAACTAATCAAAATTTCAAACAAATAAACCAAGCTGAAAAGTATGAAAATTCATAGATGTTATTTGAATTTTAATGAAATGCAATTTCCTACGACATATGTCTAGTTTTTCCCACATTATATGTTATTCTTCTAAGATTGTAACAAAAATATTACATGAAGTACTATAGCCTATATAAAATCACGTCTCAATTTTAAGTCGCATAATTCATTAGGTTAGGGAAACAATGAGAGAACAATATGACAAAATATATTAATTTTTTCACAAATTTGCTTATATACAAGACAAATATGCTTTTGATTTGAAAAATTAAGACAATAGTCGAAACACGGGTTGGGTTGGATACTAAGAATTGCTGATCCCAAAATTTGGACCCAACACATAAGAGACGAGTTTTACAAAAGAAAACCCTCGCCCAACGTTAAAGCTTAATATTAGCACTAAATACGAGTAGGTTGGGTAGGGCTGGACGGGTGGGTCAGTTTGTAAGTCTTTTTTGTTCACCCTTAGTGTTGATTGAGAATACAGGATGACCGATGCCAGGTCAGGCTTTCACTTACCGGGGCTAACAAGAAGTATACTTATTGTTTCCCTATTAGCAATATTTTAGAAATCTTATCGTACCGGCCCAAACCGATTGATAGAACATCATTTTTGTACACAATACCTGACCACTGACTTTTTCGGTATAACCTCCGATACAGTTTCATAATCTTTGGCTATTAACGGTAATTGGCTGAAATTTAGTATTTCATCACGTAGCCAAAGTCGAGTAATGAGTGCATTTATTGAGTGTCTTTTACATTGATGGTAGTAACGCATAGAGAATTATTTATCTGAATGTGAATACCTATGTGATTTAAACTTTTTTCATTTCTATTAAAAAATTTACACATTGTCCAACACTAAGTAATCCGTAAGCCACACAATTCGAGGGACTGGGTTGGTGTTCCTCCTTTAGAGAACGTAAATACGAAGCTGGACGAATTTAAAAAAACATTTGCAAATTAATAGATGTGACCAGAGAGACGCACATATGGTGAGTGAGAGTAAGGACGAAGAATAATTAACGATAATACAAGCTCGTTGTAGGGCTGAGATTAGCAGACGAATTATCTGCCAACCAGCAGCGATCGACTAATTATCTTTAGAATTTACACTCTTTACATGTGATATGCACTCAGCCGGATTAAGATCCCAAGATTAGATTGGAAGAGATAGATTTTATGAGATTATTGAGGTGGGCACTAATTTAGAGATTGTTTGGACTGGTATAACAATTTTTTGTATTAGAATCTTTGATTATTATTTCTTCCGACAGAAGGCCCTACCTAAGTAGCTACCTAACCTACTGCACTGCATGAATTTTTTTTTTCCGCTCCTTCACGTAGCCGTATCCGGCACTTCAAAGTATCTCCATATATCAGTCGGCCGATTCGCTTTATCCGGTTGCTCGTCGGGAAACTGACATAAATAGTGCCCAAAAACAAAAATGCCAAAAAAGAAGAAGGAAGAAGGGGAAGAACACTACCGATCCATCGAGTGGGAAAATGGATGAGAAGGGATTCGAGTATAAAATGAACGGACCGTTAAGTTGGATCTTTCATTAACCGGAGAATAGTATCTGTATATATCTGTACAATTTTATTTCGAGGTTATCGGCGCGATTATTATTCATTCCGGCAGAAGGCCCTAGCTAGCTAACCTAGTGCATGCATGAATTTCCCCGCTCCCGGGTTGACGATTGATGCAGTCTTTTCTTGTACATATGCAAGAAGAAAGGAGTATTCGCTTTCTCCGGTTGCTCGTCGGGAAACTGTATATAGTGCCCAAAAACAAAGAACAAAAAAGAGGGGAGAAGGAGAAAAAAACACTACCGATCGACCGATTGAGTGGGAGAAACAAACGAGAAGCCACATTTGCTAGGACACTATCATTACAATAATAATGGGTTGCTACACCACATTTGCTGCATCAGTGACAGTTATTGTACTACTAGCCGGCGGGGGGCTTTTGCGTACTTCCCTTGGAGATATTTGCGGCGACACTCCGGCGAAAGATCAGGCGTCGTTCGCTGATTATGTAGATGTCCTTCTTGGCATTCTAGTCAAGGAAACGACAGCCCGGCTCCCGGATCAGTTAACCTATGACGCCACGGTTCCAGGAAGTAACTTTCCTGGTTCCGTTACAGGCACTGCCACTTGTTATGATCAAGGAGACATAACTTACGAGGATTGCAGCAAATGTCTGTCTGAGTTGCTGCCGTATTTGGAGGAATGCGAAACGACGTCTTCTACCGGGGGAGCTTCCTTGGAAGGAAGGTGCATGATTCAATTCCATGAGAATTTACAGTAGCTAGTTGAACTTGAATGGAACACCAAATACGTACATTATCTCTACTTTATCTATCGATCTATCTATCTATCTCGATGTTATGTTGCTACCTACCTAGCTACGTAGGGACGTGCTAGAACAAATACCAATGCTCTAGTGTTTGGGATATGGCTTTCCTACTTGCAATGCACCTGCTGGATGTGTCTTTCACTTTGAACTTGTTACTTCCATTTGACCATTTCAGTTCCATTTCCAATAAAGTTTATTTCAGTTGTTTGCTTTTTTGTTCTTTTCTTTGCATAAGGTCTTTTAATGTGTTGTGTTCATTTATAATATAATATGTAATTTTTTGGTATGGATAAAAAGATATATAGGAATGAATAACGAATATAAACAACTAATAGTGATATTTAGAAAGTAATTGGTGTCTAATTTATTTTGTATTTCATGTAGGAAAACATGAGAGTTTTCTTTCAATACATACAGAAAATCAATCTTAATCATAAAAGAAAATGATTGTCCATTCATGTAGTTTAATTAAATATTTTTTATTCTCAATTGTTACCATCTTTATTCATCACGATACGTTATAGATATGAAATTATATCCTGTGAAAGAATATATATATAGGGCACATTAGAGATTGATCAACAATATGAAGTAGCATGTTGAAGGTGTACCACGATGACGTGAAAATCACCCTCGATACAACATTAACCTTACTTATTTAGACCAAACTAATATGCTATAGAATTTGTGAGCATTTTGCATCCATGCATGAGAGTGGCTTTTGTAGAAGCTGTTAGAGAGAAACCAAAAAATGATCTAGTGCCAAGATTCAGAGTGAGCATTCTTAACATGAGTACTCAAGAACTCGAGGCATAAAAGAAAAATCAAATGAGTATTTTGTGCACTGCGGAAGTTATACTTAAAAGTTGAGCTTTTAGATGCCTAATTGTTAACTTCAGTATTAATATTTTAATGTGAAAGTAAAGGTACACAAAACAGTGGGCAATTAAGAGCAAATTGATCTCAAATGCTCAATACATGGGAGCTCACTTTGAAGACCAAATATTAAAGTAACTTTGTGTCTTCGTGTTGCATCTTGTTCTTCCTAAAATCCATAGCATATTCAGATATAATTATACTCCCAAAAGAAACTTAGGGAAAGACAATTAGATATAAAAAGAGATAATACCACCATCTATAATCTTAAACACATGGGGGAGATGACTGAGCTTGAAGATGAGAGTCAAAGATATTGTCAAAAAGAGGTTCATTGTGAGAAATTCAATATCAAGAAATCCAATAAGAGGTGCACATGAAAAAAGTTTTGTGTTTCCTAGTCAATTTGATAGCCAAAACCAATAGAAATAGAAAGAAAAAAAAAATACAACCTACGAATTTGAAGGTCTGATACATGAAACAAAAAACCATTAATTTATAGTATGTTTTTATTGCCATGACTTAACCCTTGTCTCCATCCACATAACAATATCAACACAATTCTATCTATGACTATTTAACCAATAGGTTACATATTACAAAACAAATAACAAAACTATAGCATATAGATAATAATGTTCGCAACCACCAACAATAGATCCACCATTCATTAATCCTTAAGTTGTCAAGCATATAATTAGATGGAGTTTATCTCCACCAAAACATAAAGAGACATGTCGTTGTTGCTTCGTATTTTGAGTAATCAATCATTAGATTACTCAAAAAGAAAAAACCTAAAAGAGATATGTCGATATTCTAAATTAATAATTAGTTTGATAAGTATATTAAAAAATAAAAATGTGAAACTTCATTCTCTCATTCTTTCTCTACCACATGCAAACTGTGCCGGAATCTCCCATTTGTACCTTTCTATTTTCTCACGCCGCCCGACACATTTGCTTCGTTCCAAAATGAATTTTTGGTTACCCTATTTCCACTTCCTTCATATACCGTTTTCAGACAGACAATTTGCATTAAACGAAGCAGATATCATTAATCACGGGGAATAGATTCGATAACTGTCGTGGTTGCTTCGTTTATGTCTACCATCTTATTCTACTGCATTCGATATCAAAGTTTGAAAACTTCATTTTATTAACTGTTGATATTCAGACTTTAGTGTTAATTATTTTAGTGACGGTTCGCTCATTGGCTATGATTCCTCTAAATATAGGCAAAAAATTGATGACTGGTGTACTGTAGAAGCCACCATATACATATATATATATATGGTGACTACTTCGGCGCACTCACAAAAATGAGCGCGTTCAATGCACCCAACTCAAAAACTAGTTTTAAGGAGTCGGATTTAGAATTTTAATTTTTAGAATTAGTATAATATGATGATATAACATATGATAACAACTAATTAGCGGATTACCCTAAGCCCTAGACCTCCAATTTTGAGTTCTATCCCTAAACCCCAAAATGTAAACCCTAACCCTAACCCTAGATCTTTAAACTCTAAATCCTTCAAATTAAAGCAAATCTTTCATGGGTTTTGTGCAAATTCATGTGCGTTATTGTTCATCACATCATAAGTGATGATTGACATCATTTTGACATAAATCTCATGTTTAAAATGATGATTATGAGGCGGGTGCACTGAGTGCACCCAAAAAAGTGGGTGCGTCGAATACGCCACCTATATGGTGACTACTTCGGCGCACTCACAAAAATGAGTGCGTTCAATGCACCCAACTCAAAAACTAGTCTTAAGGAGTCGGATTTAGAATTTTAATTTTTAGAATTAGTATAATATGATGATATAACATATGATAACAACTAATTAGCGGATTACCCTAAGCCCTAGACCTCCAATTTTGAGTTCTATCCCTAAACCCCAAAATGTAAACCCTAACCCTAACCCTAGATCTTTAAACTCTAAATCCTTCAAATTAAAGCAAATCTTTCATGGGTTTTGTGCAAATTCATGTGCGTTATTGTTCATCACATCATAAGTGATGATTGACATCATTTTGACATAAATCTCATGTTTAAAATGATGATTATGAGGCGGGTGCACTGAGTGCACCCAAAAAAGTGGGTGCGTCGAATACGCCACCATATATATATATATATGGTGGCTTCTATCGTACCCGGGTAAATTCCGGGGTATGGCGTACCTTGGGTGATCGTGACCGTACGTGTGATCTCGACGGCTGAGATTAAATTTTATTAAATGATTTATTTTTTCAGAATTTATATTAAATAAAATTACAGATCAACTCATAGAATTAGTTTTTCTTTCATTTTAGTCCATTGTAAACCAAATCGGGTTGGTTCTGTTTAGTTATTGAATTGACCCAAAATCCAACCACCCTAAGAGAAAGGACACCTACCTTGCCCCACCCGCAGCCCTACCCCTCTCCTCCAAATCCCGACCTTGGACCTTCTCTCTTCTCCATTTTTCTGTTCGAATTGGGAATAACCCTGTTCTTCCTCCCTACTCCTGTAAATCATCCCAGCCGCCTCAGAAAATGGCAGCGATAATTGAACCACTCTGTTTCCCCCTCTTATTCTTCTTCGTTTTCCCATTCTCGACTGTTATATTTCCCACCTGTCTTATGATTCCTCCCAATCGATTGTTTGAACCCTAAACTGGCCGAATATCGCAGGTAATCTCGGCGTCAAGCTGTGCAAGCATAAGCACCCCCATCCCTTTGAATGAAAACTAATTGTTGCTTGTATGAGTAATTCACTTGTGCAAACAGCTGGGCAGGCGGAGATGATTGCACTGGAGAAGGCAATGAAAGAGGCCATGGTTCCTTCAGGATCTGCTAGGGAGGTAAGAAAGGGATTTTGAATTGAAATTGCCGAAATTGATTTTCGAACTACAATGCTGTGATTTTGGATGGATCTCTGATATGGATGAGGTGTATTGTAGACTGATTTGGGAAGAGAGGTCTCGTTGTTTGAAGCGGAGGCTACAGTTGTGGAGTCTGTATTTCAAAAATTCTATTCCTACATTTTTTTACACTGAAACCGTGGGGTTCGAACTAAACAGAGACCCCGACTGGCCCAGTCCTGCTTCTATCTTCGTGGTTAACTTTGACAAGGTAAAGGTTTTGACGAATTGTGGTGACGGTTTTATGCATTGATGATAAACCGAGTTAATGTGTATCGGAATTAGGTGCTTAAGATGTCCCTTTCCAGGATCATGTGTGTTTTTGGTCCATTCTTTCAGTAGTCTTTGACATGATCTGTTGAGGAGCTTGTTGGTGGTTTTCTTTTTCCAGGTCAGAATGGATCCGATGAACAAGGAAGTCGATCTTGATAGTTTCATGTTCTGCAATGTGAGATTACTGTAGCGGTTCCATTTCTGTTTGGCAAACTAGCCTCTGGCTGTGTACTTGTGTTTATTCGGCTGATTTCCTAGCCTCCCTCTAATAAATAAAAAAGCACACCAAAACTTGCAATCTATCCGCCAAATAATAAACGTGTCCTTAAATCGTTACCATAAAGAGGGCATTCGTTGGAAAGGAAGAAACAAAACTAAATGCTAAAATGTTTTAGCAGAACACACTATGCGACTAGATATCCTTGAGCCCTGAATTCGCCTCTTCTGGGAAGCTGCTTTCCTGAATTAGCCTCTTCTGGGAACCTGCTTTCCTCTCTTGGGAAGCTATTTTGTACTCAAGTGTCTGAGCTTCAAACCTAGGCGCATTCTGATTTGCTTTCTTGAGCACCTTGTGTCTTATGTAATTGGTAGGCTCTTTGACTAGGTACAATGCCACCTGCATTCTTCTCAAATGATTGCATGGCTGTAAGGACAGAAAATATAACATATTAATACAATAGTTGACATAGTTTTTTTAATGTGCTCGTAGAAATAAATGGGCCTAGGTAGTAGGTGATTTCTTACCCAAATATAATAGTCATCATCCCAAGTTGATCCCATCATCCACACACAAACCCAGATCCCACTATCATTCCTGTTTAGAAAGATGCATTACGTAAGACACAAATATTTTATTTTTCTAGTGAAATTATGACCAAATATACATTCTTACTTGTGTCGTTGTGTAGGAACTTCAGGAGTGGTCAAAGAAAACTCCTTGATCTGTGGTGGTGCACATGTTGATTGAACTTCCTTGTGTAAGGCATCAAACAAGTCGTTCAGAAATTTGATCTACAACGTTCAAAAAGTAACCTATGAATTACAAAATTTTGTTGGAAAATATAATGCCACATAATTGAATTACAAACACGTGTATTGAAGTATGTATTCAATGGCACAAATTTTAACTATACCATTGTGTGAACTGCATTCGTACGGATTGTTTGGCGCTCTTTTGATGGGCATGAATCCAGAATGTGTACTTGTTTCTGGTCCATCAAAATTATAGCTAAATACCAGTGGATGCCTTCATCATTCATCATATCTTTCATGGGAAGACAAACCTTCACAGGTACGAGAAAACAATCCAATTAACTAATTAGTTTTCCAACATAATTCATTCAAGAAATTAAGCTGAAGGGCAGGCATAATTCACGCGCACATATGTTGTGAAAACCGCTACTAAATAAGCAGAAATGAGAAGGAAGAATTGTGGAGAAGTCATAACCTTTCTACAGTTATGAGCTTTTGATAGGAATTTTGTATCATATAACTCTAATGCCTTTGCAGATGTCATGCCATAATTAACGACCATATCCTGGTAGGAAAATGAAGTTAAATCATTGAACACTAATCTTACTTAATAAACAACCAACCCTGTGTAAACTGAAATAGAATTACAAAGCAAAAGCAACACTTACCTGCAATTCCGTAGGCAGAAAGCACACTCCTCTTCCACGACCAGTATCTCTTTTAACTTCGTCCAAGGTCAAGTGGCATGCTAACGCTGTAATTACCTAAAACACAATAGAAATAAAATCCAATGATTAAAAATCGTTAAGCACGTTCAGGTCAACTAGGGGCGTTTCGCAGAAGTAATTACATCAGCATCAACGCTTGACTCGGGGCATAAGCTCCATAATGTCTGCCTGGTAAATGATTTCATCATTGTTTTGACCAAAGCTTCATCAGGAGGAAGGTCTTCTGCAAATATATAGTGAGCAAAACTCACTTCTTCGTCACTGTAGTTGACGGCTGTAGGGAGCTCAAACCTTATGGTACCCTTCAATCATGGAGAACGAACAAATGAAATAAGAAGAGGTTTTCTTGAGTTTTAGGTTTTACATTTTAAATGAAAATATATAATTAATTAAAGAAGAAATAGAAGTCAAGTGGCGGAGAAAGGAACGAAGGAAAACAACGAAAATAGTGGGCGAAAAGGAAGCATATGTACATCACTAGGATTACATACCTTCATTGACAATTTTTGTGGAGGCGTGAGGGGTTTGTTTTGCACACCTAGCTCATAATGGTCCAGCCCTGGTTCAGCATCAAGAACAATCACCTTCGAGTCGGGTGTAGGTGGGGGGATGACGTCTTGCATTCTTGTTTTCTTTGCAGGAGATACATAGTTCTCCAATTCCTACAATAATGAACAATCAAGTCAGAATAAGTTTTGTATAAATAACCTACTGTTAAAGCTCCTGGACGAACCATAGACTTGGCTAGAGAACGCGTTAGGCGTACAGTAGACTGGCCGCTCGTCATCTTGTTCTTCTCCCTAATATAATTGTACAAAAAAACAACGAGAGAGTGGAATATAAGAACAAATACAACGAAATAGCTGACTAAAAAGTTAAAGAAAACACATTAGCGGATTGCAGAACTTACCCTTCCTTCCCCATAATGTTACAGACACAATGTTGACCAAAGGGCCTCTGCGCTACTTTTAGTTGAATGAGTTTTGGGCAAGATGTTTGGCCATATTAATAGATGCGCCAGAGGGGTGTTTAACCTCGTGTATTAGGAAAACCCGTGAGATATCAATTAGAGTTTTTTTATATGTGGGAACTTCTATATTTGTCCACCTCATTAAATGAACTTAATAAGGAACTAACTAGTTACGTGTGAACTTCTATATTTATCCACCTCATTAAACCGATTAGGGGCTTCATTTTAGGGTTTTAAGGTTCGAAAAGACAAGACCACGAAAGCAAATGGAAGAAGGGAAGAAGACGATGCCAGTTTAACCTCCCTTGGTTGGTTGTGGCTCCGCCAGTTTATGAATTCACGTTTGGCCCATTTTCAACCAATCAATTAAGAGTGATCTAGGCTTCCCGCGGCAGAGCACCAAAGCTCTGTTTCTTTCTTCGTTCCAAAACCGGAAAACAGAGTAAGCAGTGAAACCCAGAAATATAAACACAAGAACGGAGTATGAATAAGAACACAAGGCAGTAGCGGAAATGTAATTGAACACAGGAAATATAAAAATGAAAAACAAAGACAAAGACTCAAACTCAAGAACAAAGAAGAAATCCCGGATCCACATCCTCAACCTCCTGTACAAATAATAACTTCTTACAAGGCAATGAGAAAAACATCCAAATGGCCAAAGAGTTTCCCATCTATACATGGCAAACTCACAAACATGATTGAATGTTGGGAAACTCTTTGGCCACTTGGAGTTCTCCCATTACCGTAACTTGATGCAAATAAGGTTGGAGGAAGAACTTTAAGGAATTTCAAGTTTCATTTGCTGCTTCCATGATTTTGAAGGAAGAGGGGACTGCGGTTTATATAGGCTGTAAGGGGATAAAATCTTATCAACATACAATCTCCTACAACCAATGACAAAGGGCAGAGTAAATGGTGATAGGATTTTCATTTATGAATTGATGCTTTTGGTGACAGGTGTGCTTCTTTGGAGGGGCCACCTGGTGCAATTGATGCTTTTGGAATAAGTGTCCTCCATTTGAGGGACGACAGGCTTGGTTATGCGAACCAAGGAGGTTATTTAGGCCCACTAGTTTTATTTAAATAGGCCAAACGAATTCAGTCCAGCCCATGGATGTTTTGACCCAAATTGTTCTGTTAAAAAAAAGGATTTAATTTCACAGCTTATATACAACATCCTTTAGGTTTTTCATAGTGAAGCGCCAGCGGAGAGGCTAGTTCCTTAGTACTACTTTGGCTACTTAGGGTTAGTTGGCTTGGACAATCACAAGCGCGACGATCATGGAAGACGATGAAATCGTCGAAGTGGAAAACAATGAAGATATTAACAACAGTAACGGTTCAACTATTCACAACGTTCACCAAAGTTTAGAGGTAGAAGATGATGATCTTGCCGATCTCTTACTTCTACAACAAGAAGATATCGAGAAGCTAAGATTCGCTAACACTGAAGAAGCCTATGATTTTTGGAGGAACTATGGGCTGGTCACCGGCTTTGACGTCAGGAAAGAAGATATTGGCCGAGATAAAGACAAGGTCATGATATGGCGTCGGTTTGTATGTTCTGGTCAAGGAACAAAGCGCGACCGAAAGGGTGAACGAAAGAGGGAACCAAAAGGAGAGACGAGATTTGACTGCAAAGCTAGGATTCGTGTACGACTAGACAAGTCAGATGGGAAGTGGTTTGTGGATACCTTTCATAACGTGCACTCTCACGTAACGGTTCCAAAAAAATACCGACACTACATGAAAGGGAATCGACAGTTGAGTGATGCAGTTAAAGCAGCAATCAATTTCGGAGAGCTGCAGGAATGAAAACATCACATATTGTTTCACTAGCGGTTGGAGAGGCAGGAGGCTATAGCAAGATGGGGTTCACGAGGAAAGATGCGTATAATTACGTGGACAAAGATCGGAAGGAACAGATTAGTGATGGTGATGCTGCGACAACACTAGCTTACCTACAGGCGAAATATTTTCATTCCTATAAAGTATAAAGTATTTATTCATTGAAACTTAATACCACACGTTAAAGAGCCTAATGCAATATCACTTCCATGCGTTATGGGTATAGTGTAATTCTTGTCTTATTAGTGAAGTAATTTTACTAACCTGTTTATTTTTTAGGTGTGAACCACCACTTCAACAGTTGCATATTTGGATGTTCATTTTTGGCAAATGAGAAAAAAGAAAACTATGTATGGGTTCTAGATGCCTTGAGGAGAAGGTTGGGCGGTGTAGATCCTAAAACTGTTGTCACAGATGGAGATAAAGCCATGCGCAATGCGATTCAGCAAGTATTCCCCGATGCGACACATCGTTTATGTGATTGGCACATAGACAAAACTATTGCCAGAAAAGTGAGGGACAATCCTAACTTCTTGCCACAATGGAAACATTTCGTGTCAGCTGATTGGGAACCTTCAGTATTTGAAGATAAGTGGAAAACAATGGTCGAGGAGTGCTCACAGCAGCATAACAATTGGGTTTCACATCTATTTGACCAAAGAACTGAATGGGGGTATATATACTTGCGCTCAAAGTTCTTTGCAGGCTTGTCAACAACGTCTAGATGTGAAGGAATGAACTCTCAGCTTACCAAGTATATCGAAAACAATCATAATCTACTTGAGTTCTTTATTCATTTTGATCGTTGGGCTAGGGATATGAGGGAGATGGAGCAACAAGCTGATTTTGAGTCCATCCATCGTGAACGGACAATAACGTCTAATATATTAGTCTCACTTCAGAAGAGTGCGTCTAAATTATTCACAAAAGAAGCCTTTTTCAAATTCAGAGATGAGGTTGAAAAGTCGGGAGCTTGTGTAAGGATGGATTCAGAGATATCGGAAAACCAACGCATTTACAGAGTGACAATGTCAGGTAAACAAAAGGTTTTTCAGGTCACATACACAATTGAGCCCTTCGCTATGGAGTGTAGTTGTAACTATTACCACTATATGGGAATACCATGCGCTCATATGGTTCATCTACTGAAAGAAGAGGGTATGCTGGAACTTCCAGAACGGTTGGTAAAGTTAAGGTGGTCAAAGAAGCCGAAGACACTTGATAGCTTACAACAATCACACAATATGGACGAGGCTAGACTATTCACATTCAGGTTCGTAGTTACTGTATAAAGCTGGAAATTGTGTGTTACTGTGTTTAAGAAAGCAGTTCAGATGTGTTTATTAAATACTAAGGTGGTACCAGAGGGCGTTGACCCGTTTTAGAACATAAGCTTTCACTTTTTCGTGACGTTTTAATAGAATAATAATATTGACTGTGGTTTTCAGATATGGGCTTCTTCAACAAAGCAGCTCCCAGTTATGGTTAAAAGGGGCAAAATCAAGCGAAAGCTTCAACCTTGCTCGTACAGGAATTGCATCCATATGTGAATCGCTAGACATGATGAACGAAGGTGATATTGAGATCCTAGATATCAATAGACCAAAGGCAAAAGAGAAACTTTTGGATCCACATCCTGTGAAATACAAAGGTTCGGGTGGACAAGAAAACAAAAGGACGAAAGGGGAGCAACGAATGTGTAGCAGATGTGGCGTATTGGGTCATAAAAAAAGCACTTGTAAGAAGCCTCCTGATTATGTGAGGCCTACAATACCAGAACCTACTGATACTGAAACTAATGATGGAGCTGCTGGCCACACAGTACCAAATAATGAAGAACCAAATAGTGAAAACGTCGCCAACAACGGAGCTGACCAGCAAGCACCACACATTGGCAGAAAACCAAAACATTGCAGTAAATGTGGGAAGGATACTCATAATGCCAGAACTTGTCCAGAGTTATCAGAGGAGGATACTGAAGAGGATGTTGATACAACCGACATCCCTGATCCACCAACTGTAATATTAGAAGTTCATTGTGCATGTCTAGAATACTTTTGGGAAACAATTATTTTCGTTGGAACTAAACTTTGTATATTCAATGTTGCAGAAGAAGCCATGTACTAGAAGGGAAGGCCTGGGGAGCAGCAAGAAGGCTAGTTGAAAAGATTGGCATGGATTCTAATAACCGGAGACACATTTCGAATCTGGCCATTTGTTTGATACTCTATGGATGAGTTAGGATATTTGATTGGAGGACGTTATGATGTGTTGTTGGGTATTTTCATACTTTCTGGTCCTGGTTGTTCATGTTTTAGGTTCATTAAACTGCTTTTCCAATCAACAATGTATGCCTCTACTTTTGCTGGTCAAGATTATTTTTCTGTTCAGTTCATTATTCTTGTTTTCATTAAGACCTAGCAAACCAAGAAATGGTATACTTGAAACTTACCGGTGTGCATAAGCGGAGTGGCCCATCTGTCCTCTTCTTGGAAAACCACTGCACGCCCATCTAGCCAAAGAAGGAAACATAAGGAGTGCCAAATCCAAAAATTCCAATTTAGACATTATGATTTGAACCAATTATAAACTACAAACTGAACATTATGAAGTATAAGAGGAACACGATACCTTTATAGCTAGCTTAACAAGTGCAACCACAACATCATAAACATCAGTCTCATTTAACAACTCCTTTTCAACATGTTATTTAGCTCCACATGCCTGCACAACAGGTCTATAGTCAGTAACCAATATTCAGATACAATGTCTTCAACCACATGTGCACACACGCAAAACACTCTGTATTGAAAAATATCTAGCTTGGAACTAAACACTAAGCACTAAGCAGAAGAACGAACCTGAGGTCAAAACCGAGCACAGAGCAAAACCGAGCAACAACCACAGCCACAGGTCTCAAACCACTCTGAACGCTTTGATTACAATCCGAACAGCTTGCCAATGGA